GAATAGAAAAGATAGGTCATCTACGAAGCCCACATTGTCCAGCTGGATCAATCAAAGCTGTCCACTGCATTCTGTACTTCCACTGAAATGTGGTGTTCCCCACAATCCAGTCAACCACGATGATAAAGATAAAGAGTGAAAATAAGCAGTCTTGTCTAACACCGATCTTCATTCGGAATGATTCTGTGAGCTATCCTCCATGCATGATTTCGCGGTGCAGGTCGTCGTATGAATTCCATGCGATGATGGGATCTTATGAGGTAATCCGCAGTGCCTTTGTAGCTTACCAGTCTGATTTATTGCAACCTCCCATTAACTTGATTTTTATCGCTGGTATGCGCACAGCACTGAATGTTATTCGTTGTAAGTCTATCTTTTTTTGACATGAAGAATGCTTTGATGGTAATGGGTCCATGAAATCTCCATCCTATAGCAGCTTTTCGTGCTTCTTTGGATTGCATTAGTGCAAAGCCCTGTGTGCATGGCATGTCCTTGTTCTTGATCAGAGTATGACAGCCCCTCTTTCGAAGTTAATCTTTTCTGTCCAGTTTGTTTTCTATAATTTTAATTGTTCGAGGAGACTCTAGCATGCATCTTTTCATTTCCTCAGAAAGTTGCATGATTCTCCTTGTCTCTCACACTGTGAATACATTACAAGTACGTGTATTAATCGCTATTCGGTTGTCAGAAAAGTCATCAACCTCGTGACTTCCGAAGAAACTTGGCCTGGCCGTGAGACATCGTAACTGTCTAACTCCCACTGTAACGTTCAAATTATAGTTGATGTATTTTCAAAAGATTGCTTACTACAGGATGGTGTAATGTACTATTTACAGATTTAGCTAAAACTTCGTCCGTGCTGTAGTAATTCTGTGTATTTCACCTGTATATCGTAATAGTTAACTAGTCGTCAATAGTGTGTAAGTGAGTGTTTAATTTCAAGCGGTCGATGAGCTTTGTACAGTGAAATTATTGTTCATCCATACAAGCATACGTCTCTTTCTTTATTCAGTGATAATTACAGTTCTCTTCCGTTACAAATTTCACTAATGACTTGTTAGAAAATACACTGTTTTTATTTAATATCACCAGACAAAACTAAATGTCTACATTTCGCCAAATCACAGCTTCACTAATAAACATCACTAGTATCAAGAAACAATTTATTGATTGTGTGTAAAAGTCAATTAATCCGTATCATCTAATGTAATATTCAGTGTACTACAATCACATTTTATTCAAAGCATAAAATACGTGTAATAGTTGCTCAACCAGTTTTTTTCTTTTGATTTCCTGTGTTAATTCATATTTCTTATTATTTACTATCTAACAGTGTAATTGTTTGTTTAAATTACAAAGGCTAAATAAAATTCTTTTACAGTTTCACTATTATTATTTTTAATAATTTTCCAAATTTTTATTTTTAAATTGTGACTTAATTTGTGGCAAAAAACCAGTGCAATGCTTTCTTTGTAATTACTTTCTTCCCTGCTCGATTTACTTTGTTCTTGTTATAAACGATTGTTTATATATATATATATATATATATATATATATATATATATATATATATATACATTAATAGATATTTTCTTCATGAGTACATTTATCATAATTAGAATATTTCTCTCTAATTTCCTATTTCTATTAATATTTGTGAATATGCCTCTCAGTATGTGTGTGTGAATGTAGTAGATGTATGCAACTATACACAAGTGCATAAGTGTATGTTCATTTACTTTTATATTTAAGTAAATACATGGAGTTCATTTTCTAACAAAATTATTACGATTATTATGAAAATAATTTGTAGTCTTTTATGAAGAAAAATTGAATTTAATTAAATTTGCCTTGAAAAAAAAATGAACAGAAAACAAAAACGTTCAAATTAAACGACTTAACACATATATAAACGTGGTTCATTTTAATTTAAAGTGATTTCAATGAAAGCCAATTTCAATTTAAAGCTAATAAAAACCGCGTTAAACTAATCTAAATAAGTTAAAAAAAAAGATTTCGTGAATCTACACTCTATTTGCATCTGATGTACAACTATGTAACTGATATCGGAGAAAAAGTATAATAAAGATTTATCTCATTAAGACCATTCAGTAACATAGAAAACTAAAAAAAATAAGTTGAATGATATCACTATTAAAAATTAAATGTTATATAATTTGAAATTTAAATTGTTATAAATTTACTATCATTGAGATGTACTACTGATAACTATTTCTGTAGATAAAATAATTTAAAGGATATAATAAATAATAAAATTAACATTATTCTATTTAATAAAAAATTGAACTCCTCTTGTACTTTGGTTCAACATGATTCGTTTCATCAGCAAGTGAAATGCCGAAATAAATTGACATATAGCTGAACCGATATAGAAGAATGAATTAAACAATTTTTCACAGTAAAAATTCAATATTATTTTGGTTAATATCATGTTATGTTCAAGTGTAAAGCAATTCAACATGATACATGTACGCATGATTCATGTTGGTTTGAGCGAACATTTACAAAAAATGTAGTACTATTAATATGAAACAGTATAATTAATGTACATTTGTGCTAGTATTTATGGGATTTGAACAAGATGTTTTGTAAATCAGTGCATCAAATATGTTGGAATTTTGTTCAATAATGAATGTTCAACTAAAGAATGAAAGTCCTAGGAGATACATAAAATGGTACCGGCTAAATCAAAAAAGTAGCTCAGATACAACTGTGAATAATAAAACAACATTTAAATCTGCGAAGTCTGTGCACCTTTGAAATTATTCTTAAAAGTGTATGATATAATAAGGACTAAAAGTGATACTGAAAGACGGAGCATAAAAATATGACTTTTAGATCTGCCGACAGCACAATTATGTCTAGCAAACAAATATGAACAAATATAAAAAACTATTTTCAGGACTTTCTGATGATTATCTTAAATCTAACAATACAGATTGTATTTGGTAATTTAGTCTAATTAATACATTATCTACTGATTCATAGAGTTTTGTGAGTATTAAGACGATATCAGTTAAAACATATTGGTTAATCTGAATTAAGTGAGTTGAGCAGACTAGTATTTGAATTAGTGAGACTGATAATTAGTAATTTCATAACTGTAATAACGACTACAATAACTGCGTCTTCATTAAAACAAAGATATTTTAGTTTATAATAAGCTATCAAAACATCAGATTAATCAAATACAATTACCGACAACTGAAATGATCGATAAGTATAGTTGAAACTTATTATACCTAACACATTTAAAATGTCACACTTCAGTGATCTTCACTAAACTGACAATTAAGTATCAGTAATTATTCTGCGGTAGATCTTATGCTTACATATAGCAATAAAATCGATCACGAATCTGACTCCTGTCAGAGAACATTAGAAAATGATAACACGTTTTTGAGATTTGAGTAAATGACTGTGAGTTTCGTGATGTATGTTTAGCAGTAAATCATATGACAGAATTTCATCCCATTAGATTAACACCTCTTTTTCTGTTTTATTTATGATATCCGAAGATTTTTTTTATGCTAAATATTTTCCTCATAAAAAACATTTTGATACAATATTCAAATGTATTCAACTAATTCAGGCTGTATAATCATATGTATCGGGAAAAAAACAATTTTTTTTGCTCGTAACATAATAATGCCATTTAAAATCACATATGAATATCTTTTTTTAAATTGTTTAGCAATCAATAAGCATGTTTCGATATATATGGAATAGTTTTGATTATATTGAGGATCATTTTTAATAGAAGACGAAAATCAAATAATTATTTACTGGAGTGAATAGTTCGACTGCATGAGCGTTAAGATAGATATTCTAAACATATACACTTAGATTTATCCGATTAAAATATGGCTTCAGTAAATTAGCCATAAAAACAGAACAGATCATACAGTCTTTATCAAACTACACAGATAAATAATTATTACAAACAAATAAATTTAAATCATGAGGTATAAGATGAGGTCTTTCTGGATAAAGAATGGGACTTTAAGATTTTTACATGCACTTCAAATATCAAGGATAATGAGCATTAGAAATATCTTTGGATAGTGCTGAGAATGTTTCAGATGATAGTGAAAAACCACTTTTGTTTGCTACTGCAAAAAAGTGATGGTATTAACATCATAAAATTTACAATTTTGTCTCTATATGTTATGTATCATGAGCAAATGGACACTCACCTTAATTCCTAACAGGAAATAAGTTTGTCCTGAAACAGACCTTAACGCAGAATTATTAGATTTCATGAACGACCATGTCGAATAACATTTCTTGCATTTTCATGCAAAATTCATCCATCCGTGATGTTACAGAATGTCTTTGCATAATAAATTAAGTTAGTTCGTAATGATGAACCAACCTATTAGAACCTTACTTTATACACTACCCTAACTCGTATTGATCTATTTTTTTCCCGATAGTGGTTTGCGAAGATAGACATTCGATTTCCATAAAGACACTTTTATATCCTTAATTTTACAGGCAGAGTAACATGTACAAGACGCTAACAGACCCATTTGATCTACAATGGTTGTTTTTTTAATATTGTAATATGATTGCTTTACTTTAGATGAATTACCTATTTTCACAGGTCATTTTCTGACTAACTCAAAAAACAAGAAATTTATCTTGTTTGTTTTAATTTATTTCATATGTTGTCGATCATCAAGGAATATTTATAGAGGACATCGATATTTTAGCTTCAACGGAACAGTAGTGTGTAAAAATATTTATTTGCAAGAGTTGTTAAAAATTCAATCCAATAACTTCTTGTCAACTGTGAAACTCGTAACTAATCAATAGTGTATTTATTAATGAATTACACCTCCTCGTTTCAATTTTTCGACAGTTATTTGTGGTTATTTTAATTACGGCATCATAATGAATAATATCTACTTGATGATTTTCCCTCGAAATATTTATTGACAGACTAAAAAATATACCAACAACAAATAACGTCTTACCTTTTTTAACCAGAATGGAACTTCAGTTCGTCGATCACCACGAAAATGTAAATTGACCACAATAAGGCACAAAAATGTAGATAATGTTACCAAAGTCATGTTGATACAGTAATAATTCCCTGAATGAAAAGTTTAAAAGTTAGTTTTGGCGAAGAATAATGAAATAAAAACCTATCAACTATCATATTGTTATAGCTATCAATGGAAAGAAACGAATGCCGAATGAAATAATGTTTGACAAACAAGAGCATGAGTTATCAATGAAGTATATATATATATATATATATATATATATTCAGATATAAACATTTCATTTCCAGTCTGGTCAATGGATTTATGTGTATCTATTCGTAGTTTAATATACAAACGAAAGAAAATTTGCACCATACAATTAAATACCACTCTTTTTATTGCCAGATTAATTTTTTAATGAGTATATTAAATGTGTGAAGTGACTGTTTAATTTTCGTCTTTATGCTTTATAGATATAGTTTTAAGAATACATTCGTATTTATCCATACTTGTTTTTAATCTTTGTTTTCATTAGACTTACATAAACTGACAATATCATATAGGAGATAAAAAGAGAACCAACATTAGAATTATGTATTAATTCATTTTTTTGTGTTTCTAATTTGGATAATACCCTCAGGTGCCTAATTTTTGAATCCGAATTTATACGTACATTACATTAATTTATATGGTGAGATAAATGAATGGTTTTTTGATGCGAAACAATCGTAGAATACCATTCCATTAGGAAAAATTCAAATATATTTTGCAAATATCAGTGTTAAGTTTACATTGAAATCGTGAACCAATCATCGATAGCCTGAAAGCACTGGATGACCGTTCCGTCCTGGTATTGTACTCATCAACAGTTCGCGTCCATGACCCTCGCTACTCACAGGAATCGAACCCAAGACCTTCGATCTTGCTCACTAAAGCTTAAACTTTGGATCATTGAGCTGGCAACAAGCAGGGTTAATATCTGACTTTGATTAATCTAAGGATGTCACACAACCTCACTCTCCGGCGGTTACTGACTACATCCGACAGGGTTGAACTCCACTGAACAGGGCTTCCCGGCCATACAATCGACTAATGTAAGTTACAAAATTTATTTACTACTCAAAAGAGTGTTTAGCCCATATCGCATACTTCATGCTTAGCCCCTTTTGATGTTAAGCTGGAAACTCTAGCTTAAAACATGAAAACCATTTAGATGCCAAGTATACTTCAAATGGCTTTTGTATTCTTGCAGATTCTGGTTGTTATCTATCTTATTGTGGTGGAGTTTCGTTGTGGAGCATTCATTGTTCTCCTAAACAACATCATCAGCACAAACTTTAGATACAAGTGAAGTATTCGAATTTCTGCAGGTTTAACCCGTAACGTGAATCGTCTTCTGATCTTCATTCTCTTTCTCTCTCTCTTTGAAGAAAGATTTTCGCCTAACGTATTACACAATTTGGTGAAATGTTTTTGGCACTATCCAACGATCAGTTTCGTGATTTGTAAATTATTACAAATTACTTATTATTTTATAGCGGTACTTATTAGCTTACCGTTGGTTTCGGTAGAAAAACACAGTTTGTTACGTAGAATCGAAAAGCTCACTCCAAGAGCGAGCAGTCAAATATTTTCTATATGGTTACAATTATTAATAAACATTAGGAATCTTTGAAACAACTGGTAAGTGATATTTTTTCAATTACAAACTACTCAGTTCATATATTTGTATATATTTTGGTGTATATTGACCCGGGTATATTAAAAATTATACATAGGAAGAAAATTATGGAAGCTCTGCAATACCATATCTAAGGAACCGAATGTGTAAAAAAGTTGCATCTGTTGAACTAGTCAATTTACCTTCATTCCTAAACATACACACTTATGATTCATATTTGTAAAGATACTTTACTTTGTAACGTAGTTCATTTTTTATAAGCATAGTATGAAATATAAATATTAAATGGGAATATACTTGTTTATATATATTTTATGCTGAGCTTTTGATATTACATCAAGCTTGTGGTAGTGAATGGAGTTTATTATTGTTGTTATTATTACTGTTTGATTAATGAAGGTAAATTCCTTTATGAACTTTGGTTTCACAGTAGCTGGTAATCATCGACATCCTTATTAACTTATCAACAATTACACAGTCTACATTCAGATCTTCAGTAAATCATTTCCAGGTAGTTCGTTATATTTGTTTAAATTTAGAGTACGTTATTCTACAGTTATGTGATTGATTAAACATTCCGATGTTGATGTCGTGATGTAATTCATTCAGAACCAAGTGTTTCTACTAGTAAATTTTAACATAATTTATTTCATAATCAAAGTTTTACTATTTTTGTAGTAAAATAAGTATTCATGATCCATAGAGAATTAGGATTCAGATCATATAACAATTTTGAAGCTTCGTTGATTGATTACTCCTAATGATAAGGAGGTTAAATCAAACAATGGTTGATTTTATCGATTTATTTGTTAAGCAAATAATTCTTAGCATATAATTAAATAATCTGGTAAACTGGTGAAAACTAACATTAAAAATGTAGTTAAAATCATCATGTTTATTAGCCTTCGAACAGTTAAGTTCGTGAGCTTAGATAACCTGGAAATAGTATGCAGTATACAAAACGAATTCATATTTGTGACTTCGAGTTATGATACTCTTTAATGATAGCTTGCAGTCCCATCCAAATCAGTGATATGAATAGATCGTAATCAACGATGTTAAAGAGTCATTAAATTATGCAAATTTATTTATGAACAAATAAAGCATAAATTATTCTATTCCCAAGAAACAATGTATTATCAATCCGCTTCAGACTTCTAGATAACTTATTTAGCTATTGTTCCTATGTTGTCAAAATCTTTGTTGTATTAGCTAAATTCTTCGTAGTCTGTTTTGTGTATTACCTGCACATACTTACACTCTTTTATGAAATAATGATAGCCTGTGATCGATTTACTGTAGTATCAAACCTATATGATCACATTACTCATTACATTGTATTATGATCTGTTTTTTGAAGAAGCAAGAGATTGTTCCAATGGGATTAGAAGATCAAATTCATGATGGGATCGTGAGAGTAAGAGTAGTCAATGGAATCAAATATATCACGATAAATAGTAGCTAGTCACATTCTTGTGATATTTAAAAGTAGACTCAAATAATTATTGAAATAGTGGTTATTTTATGCTGTCAACTGTTTCGTCTAATCGTATATACATTGTTATTATTGAAACTCTAAGCCCATGTAAACTTATTGTATGTAATGCCAACTAACAGCGCGTAAAAAGCTTTATTAAAACATGCAGAGTTCTGTTAAAAAGTTGATGTTTTATGCATGATGTTAGATTTTTTGTCAACATTGAAATATTTCTATTTTTTACAACGGTCAATGGAAATTTAAGCAAACCTATTTATTTGCAAAATCATTTACATATGAAAATATTTCCACATTTTTATATTTAAAAATAAATTTTTATGTATCTTACTTGTGCGTGAAATTTAAAATGATAAATCTTGTTTGAAATTAGTATTGATTCAGATAAAACATCACTTCTTTTTCCCCGTAGTGATTTACTTTCGATGAGCAAGTTTAATGAATAATATGGGTGGAAGTGATGTTCATTTAGTGAACACACTGTTGTAACCTCTCTCAAAATTTATCATTTATTTTACAGATTCTACCGAAGGATTACAAAGATAAACAATACACAAACTGCCTCATTTTAATCAGCTTAGTTAAACAAGAAAAAAAGTTATTTCATCAAAATCCACAGAGAGATGATCTTTATTATGCTAATAAATCATATTTACACATTTTCCTAAAAATAACTATGACCTCAATTTGATTTGAAACTGAATAAATTACTATAGAATAATGAAGAAAACATTTATTAGTTTACTTTTCAGGTCTAATTTGATTCTCTTGTGGTCACTGACAGTCGTTTATATATATATATATATATATATATATATATATATATATATATATATATATATATATATATATATATATATATATATATATATATACTCTAACTATTATAAGTTTCTGCTCCTTTTACCATCAGTTCACTGATTCAATTCAATTCATTTTAGTAATTTCAAGCAAATAAGTCTCTTTTCTTTTACAATTTCCTTTTCTTTCACAACATACAACTTCATTAACAATGCCTGAAAAGTGAAGATTTTGTTTGTTAACCTCAAGATGTATATATATATATATATTTATATGTATATATAAAGTGAGATAGCTATGTTTATGCTTGTATGTATACCTACGCATAATCATCATGCTGTCAAGTTTATAATGAAGTATAAACTTCCTATATAAGTAGTGATTTCGTTTAAGGGTTATATATGTGTAGAAATTTATTTTCAAAATAACATTAAGAAAATAACTACATTTTATGACGAACAAAAATAAAATGCTCTGAAAGAAAAATTAGAATAAAAAAAATAAATTCTGATAAAATTAGATTGTAGTGCTTCAGGCTAATTGATTAATAAGTGTGCGCATTAGTTTGTTATTAAGTTGTGAGTGTTTTAAATGATCAAATTTGACTTATAACAATATCAAGTAAATAACATTATGTTTTGCAATACACTGGAATGATGATTGTAAATGTTTGGACTAGCCAGATTCAGTGTAAATTCACATCAACATGATCTGAAAGTTTATTCTGCCAAAAAAAATAAAGAACTAAAAACTGTTTTGATCATGAATGTTGTAAGTCATTTGGAAAAGAAATGAAATATATTCCTTCGGAGTACTAATTTAAAGTGTTCACTGGTGAATATTTTATCAGTGATATTAATTTTTGAATGACTTTTACAAAATTATCAATTGATTCAGCTACAAACGTGTTACTGATAAAGATTATGTATTTTTATATATATGTATGTAAGACAAAAATATCAGTGAAATTTATACATATATTTTCAATAGATTTCAGTTGTAATCAGTAGTGAGTACAACTGTTTCCAGGGTTATTTTAATATAAGTAATTTTTTTTAGTTTTATTGGTCTTTAGTTGACAGTGATGTTTTATTTATTAACAGAATGTGGTAGGTATTAGAAAAGTAACTTGCCAGTCATATGGTTGAGGAAGAATTGTAAATTATCTGTGTTTGTACATAAAATCTAGTTTAATTGATTAAAAGAACTCCAAAGAAACACCTTGAAGTTGTATGGATTTACAATATTTTATCGATTTAAGTTTTTTAAAACTATTGTTTCCTGCTTCATGAAAGAAGTCGACTGCTTGAAGAAATAAATTATGACGATTTATCAAACGCTAGGAATTCTGAGTTTCTTAGTTGGTCATTCATTGTCTCAAGTATTACAATAAATTATCAAACATTCTATACTTACCTATTAGTGGAAACGAACTTGAAGCCGATGGAATGGAATTCTCCAGCAGTAGCAGTAGAAGAAAGAATGCGAGGAAGATATTCATACCTTAAATAAGAAAAATAGTGATTTGAGAATGTTAGTTAAATAGTTAATCAATAGCTCAAGATACACAATTATTAATTATTTTATCATTGCGTAATATAGGTTTCTTGTACAAAATATTGAAAACTGGTGTTTATTCATGTGATTAGTAAATATTGGATCGAATATAGTTGGAAGATTAGAGTAACCGGATATTTTATGCTAGTAGACTATTGAGAGAGAACTAAGCACCAGAGTTTACAACAAAGACTGAGATTTAAACTTGTAAATGTTTAAAGTGATCGTTTTATATAAATATATATATATATATATATATATATATAACAAGTATTTGAATCGATAATGATTAACAAGGCATACTTTACTAGCAGGTGTTTGTGAAAAATGAAAGTCTGTTGTGTACTACTCACAACGAATCTTATAAGTAGTGGAGATGCAGGGGAGTGTCACCCGATAGTTACTACAGAAGCGAAGAGTGTCGGATCTGGATGCGTAGCACGATCGGAGTGTTTTGAAGGCTGGAAGATATGAGGAAGAAGCCAGTCAGTAATACGCTTGTTTTGCAGATGCATATTTGAAGGTAAGATGTACATATTTTGACCAGTAAACTGTACATATGTAAGTAACTAAGTCAATTCAAATTTTTATTTCCAGTTATTACTGGATGTTGTAATACTTTGAAAATTAAAAATGAAGTTAATCGAATTATTTACAAGCAAATTCATTTTATTGAGAGTTACAACATTCACCATAAAAATTTAGTTTTAACATTATCAACAGCCAAATTGAATGTTTCAAAAAAATATTTAAAAAGCTCAAACATTTGCATGTAACATATAACCATCAACCAATGAATATTTTATAAACTAATCGATATTTTGGACAACAATGTCACATTCATCTATGTTTACTTGTGTTTCAGTAAATGTTCTCATCATCCTAGTCTTTAGTTTTATGTTGTGTGTCAGCCTTTTCATAGTTATTGTTGTTGAAATTATTGAAAGGTTACAAAACGGGATAAGTCTCTCCTTTTTATATGAACGGAAAAGATGACAGCATCGAAATCATTGCACATCATGATAAGCATTATGTAGTTCTGTTGTTAAAAAACAATATTCAATTTTCAAAAAAAGAAAACAACAATTTTTATCATCCCCATCAAAACTAGTAAATAACCGATTTCGAAAAATAATTTAAGTTTCAGCGTGGTGTATTATGTTTGGGGCATTTTATTCGAAATGATTTGATTGTTATTGAATGTTTACATTCATCTGAGCTTCTTTTACGCTTTTATTTTTTGTTATTATTGTTTTCATTGCTGTTAGATTTAAATTTTCAGTGATATATTTTGGAAAATATTTACTTCAGGCTGTATTTTTTTTAGAAAGAATATGCATATTTTATGTCAGAAAAGATATTAATCATATGTATGTGATTCGAAGTGTACGCCTAAAACAAATTATATTGTTGCAAAGATATTGAAGAGGGAGCAATTTCCTAGTAATATGAAATTTCAAAACATTTTATCCACCTGGTTTTGAACTCATCTCGTCTTACTAACATAAATCTTTAGGACCTTTTAGGAATTTCGCACACATTTTATGAAAAACTGAAAATTTGTTTGTGAGATTATTATTATTCATTATTCCTGTAAAATGACTAAAACAGATACCAGGAAATTCCTTATTGCACGAGTTTAAATGGTGAACTTGGACTATTTTAAGAAAGTTAAAACCGACTATGTACCGTAGAGAACTAATTATTCTCATAAAATGGCCATATATACCTCATCCTCATTATGTTTTAAGTGACAAATCCTTCTGTTCAGCAGTTTACGTATACAGTATTTATGAATAAACATAATAATCCCACAGTTGTTTTAGTTAACAAAAACATTTATAACAAATTACAATGTATAAAACTTCATTTAGTGGACACGGACTTGACTGGATTGAACAGTTCTGTAATCTTCTTTTAATTGTACATGGTAAATGAACGCATCTTAAGAAGGAGTGAGTCAGTTATAAATTAGTCAGTCACATATGTCTAATATGACTTTGTGATATTCTGAATGTGTTCTTACACTAAATTACTGCTTAATTAACGTTAAGTATCACCTTGTTTGATCGATGTTAATCAGACTACAATCAGTTTGGATTAGATCAAAATTAATGCATTCAAAAATCATTTTAATTTATTTTTGTGTTGGAGAGATTCTTGTCTTTCATCTTCTTAAAAATGTAACCTCATCTTTCGATTATCACTTTTCTTGTTGAAATAAAGAGGTTTTCCGCAGATACAACAACAATAAACTTTAACTTCACTGTTTGTATTGCATTATTGTTTGATTTCAGTTAAATCAATTTTAATTTGGAAGTTTGAAGTGTTTGAATTTTGCTTTTTGTAAAATGGCTCATTTCGCGGATTTTTTGTGTACAAGATAACTAAAACTTAGTTAATGGAAAGCAATGATATCCAGAAAATTCAAGCTTTTTGGATTGAGAAAAAGTATCATATTCGACCCAAAATATTGGTGACTAATATTGCTCAGATTATGCAAAGGCGCTTGAAGTGATAATTTAAGGATTTTAGCTTCAATTAGAACGTTTACACGAAAGCAAGTTCACTGAGCTAATGTTATTCAAAATGAGCGGGAAGGTTAGTCCTGAATTACCATCCTCATTGTAATACAAAATATAACTCACAGAAAATACATAGGGATTTTAAAAAAATGTTTTTGGCTCAAAAGAGTAAAATCAGTAATAAAACTGTGTAGTTGTATTTGAAAAAGGAAACCTACTATTACGGCGTGATTAGTTAGTTCTAAAAATGATGACCAGTCAGGATATTGGAGACTTTTAAGATTTGAGTTGAAGTACATTTTAATTAGACTCTCAGTTTATGTACTCAACACTGACGTCACTATGTCAACATAGATTATCGAACCATGTAACTTATTAGTCAAAACCAAGAGCAGTTATTGTTGAACTTGTGAAGTTGATCATTGTCAGCCACTTGGCCTAGGTTTCTTGTTAGTTCGCACTTGCTAACTAGATACATTAGCAATATAATAGAACTAGTGATCCACCAAACCAGCATCCACTAACACGACAACAGGTTGTGATGCGAGTGACACTAATATGGATCGTAACTGAATACGAAATAATTTATAGGCAGATTAACATTTTTTATATATAGAAAGAGTAGTCACCAGTTCTAAATAATTTGCATAGTCAAACGGCATTTCATAACACAGAATCACTGTCAGAAAACACTGTCTGACCAATAAACTGCGAAACTTTGTTAAAAAAAACACAATTTCTATTTATCATTCGCATACAGGTTTACAGAAATGCATAGGAAAGTGTTTTTTTTTATATACAACTCAGTCACATATCATCATCATTCTTTAACAAATAACTTGCAAAGTTCTGTAATTACTTTGTTTTTCTTTCAACCACTCGATCGATAATTATTTGCAAATTCATTATCATCATCATCATCATCATTGTTAAATCGAATTCAAATAATTCTCGATGAAAAAAGATAGGCAACCGGAAAAGAAGTGGGAGAAGCGAAATAATAGAAATTTGTCGAGAGGCTATCTTTTATTTGTTTTTCAATAAGCCTGTGGAACACACCAGCAACCATAATAATAATCATAATAATAATAACTATAATAATAATCATAATAATAATGATAATAATAATAATTTCAACTTCATTATTATTCACTTTATGTAGCTATGTGTGATATTTTATTGGTGTTTGTATGCATGATAAAGAGAGAATGGGAAAATGTGTTTTTATCCCACAGTAAAACAACAAAAAAAAGAAGGAAGTAAAGACAACGAGACTGAAAAATACCTCACATTTATCACATTTTATTATTGTGAATACACAATAATGAAATGAATAAATGATAGAAAGGAAGATATGGTTGAAAGATTACTAATGGGAATAACTGCCATAATGAAATACAAATGAATTGATTAGTATTCATCGAATTTAATTCCGTGAAATATTCTAAAATAATTTTGTATCATTTTACAAGACCATTCAAACGAATCATGTATTATTCGTGTTGCATTTAATGTTCACACATATTTATTTATCTAATAAAGTTATTCTTTAGTATTTTAGTACACTCTTTGTGATGTTTGACCAACAATATGTTACAAAACAATATTTCATTACGGTGTTGTGAAGATTGTTAAGGTACACATTTGAAATCATAAATCGATCAATGTTAGACCACCATTAGAAACCTGGAAGCACTGGACGGCCGTTTGGTACTGCTGCGCAGTACACTCGTCCTTTGCTTGGTCGACGGATATCTGGCCCACGCCACAAGTAACATAGGTTGGCGAAAGCCAATAGACCCTTCTGTATCAGACACCAGGTCATCAGAACTGATAAGACTTCCAAGATAAGTGTAGCGGTCAACACGCTCAACTACTTCACTTCCTGTCACTAGTTCAGGCTTTGACGCAAGCCAATCCTGAAACAACATTTTGCATTTTGAAGGAAAGAAACGCATCCCCAACATACTTGCATTGTTTCCCAAGGTGGTCAGTACATGGCATTTTGTCAGCGTTTTCATCAATCAGAACCATGTCATCGGCATATTCTAAGTCAGCATGTGAATTTCCCGGTAAAACTTCAACTCCTAAAAAGTCAGACGGTGTAAGTGTTGTCGCTAAAAAGATGTCAGTGACAAAGTTGAATAGGAATGGAGAAAGTTGAATTAGCCTGATAGACATCTGTCGCGGTAATCGGTTCCGATAACAGTTCGCCATAAGCTCTCACCCGACCAGTAGTGTTGAATTGTAGGTGGAGTAGAATGACCAACATTCCTTTAGGTAAAACTACAGATAAAATCCAACCACAATTTTGATAAGATTTGTAGTTAAGAGATAAACATTACTGATTATGATCCATTAAAGTAGAGTAAAATTTCCGGAAAAAGAATTATGTCACTAACCAATGTCACTGGCCAATAAATACAAACTCAAGGTTAAGAGTTACTGTCCTTTCATTTCATGACATTTTAACAAAATCATAATACAATGACATCTGTAAACTTAACAGGAAAATGATCGTACTACTTTTTTCAATATTCTATTAACTGATTTCTAAACTAGTTAAATACTGATTAGTATTAGTGTACTTTGTTTTCATTTCAATAGATAGTATAAATTTTCCTGCATGTAAAGGAAATAGAGAAATGACATTTTTGGTTTATTTTATTTATGCCTAATATTTTCTAATTTATTTACCCATAGATCATAAAATGTTTTCTAGCTAGTTAATTAACTGATATGTTGAAAAAAAACATAATCGCAAATGAATATGTGTTGATTGATAAGTTTATTGCATATCAAGTGTTATCGAAGAAAAAAAGTGTGTTAGACACTTATACATAAATGATATTGAAAAATAGGAAAATATTTTACCCTAGGGTATATAAAATATTACGATCTAAAAAAGAAATTAGGAAACATGTATGTTCATAAAACTACAAACACAAAAGTAAATGAATAACGCGAAAACAGTACACAACAGCAAACATATTTTTCCGTCAAGAATAATGACACATATTAACAACTGGTTTCACAATTATTAGTCACCACAAGCTATATATCATAAGTGAATGTCATTCTATACAACTGAGTTAGTTGACAAATAAACTGATGATAATGATCAGTGTTTTACACTACATAGAAGAAAAATCTTTCGTTTCAATAAAGTTTGTGGATTATTTACATAGATTTTTAAGTATCTAATAGAAAATCATTTATACTGGTTGCATAAATCGTCCCGTTTAATAACCTGTGCAGATTACCTTGATACAAGCATTTGAAGGGGATTCAAATGGTGCTTAAGAGACAAATCTCATTCTCTTTGTGACAGCTGAAAGAATCTGCACCCAAATGTTGATATTTACACTGGCTTTCGGATGTAGTGTTTTTCACTTTAAATGCTTAGGGCATTATCAGCGCGAAGTTTGTAACAGCCAAAACAATCATTTAAACTTATCCCGTTTCGATAACTCGGGTGTTTGAAGTGAAATGTAGTAGACTCGAGTCCAAGTGTAGACAATAACAGTATGGGTTTTGAGGTAAATTATATTGACTTATAACAACTGTTTTAAGCTAATATTTAAATTAACCAAGCAACACTGAAATGTTAAATAGGGTTATACGTTTTATATTTATTTTATGGGAAATACAGATTCTGTAGATTTGAAAACAATTTTTTCCTCCGAACATTTCTTTGAGGTTTTTTACAACAACACCATTATCTCATTGACGCAATCTAAGAAAATGTATGCGTGTAATCATAAACATTCTTAGGCGCCATTTGGAAAAAGTACATTTACCCAAAAATCAGTCAACTTACCGAGAACCATTTTTGCCGGTGTCTCAGGTGGAAGCCAAAATAGAACTAGGGTTAGTGAGGAAAGTAAGAAACACGGTAAAATCAATATATAGTTGTAATAAGCTGCTTGTCGTTCAATTTTGATGAAAAATAATGTGTCAGAATATTGTTCTGGACAGCATGGATAGGCGTGAGTTCTGTGTTTTTGCCAGTAATTCAAAACTGACCATTCAGGACTTTCAACATAATCCTTCATACTGAAACCTTCATCGTAAAATGTTATATTGACTCGAGCACTGAAACAGGTTTAAGAACAAGAAAAGGATTCATTATTTTCACATGATAAGTTCAAATATATTATCAACTAAACTATTAGATACTCCTTTTTTTGAATTTTCCTATGATACTACTGAATAATGCATATCATTGAGACTGAATATTATTTCGATTAGTTCTAACAGTCTAGCAAATATTAAACAATATATAAGACATTAATCATTTTTAATCTAATCAGTAAGCTTACCAGTAATCTATGAGTAAATCTTAAAAACAGTATGAACAAGAAAGTTCTACACTGACAGTGTTAATAATTCTTCAAACGATTTATTCCAAAGTTTGAATTTGTTTGTATTCTTCGATTACTTATTAAATTTACTCACGAATAAAAATACTAATTCATCTTTGTTTTTCGATAATTTTTATGTTGACTTATTTTACTGATGAAATACTAGACAGTTGCTGGATTAGATTTGGTAATTCGTATAAGTTAGAAGTAATAATTTTTATCTCATATACAAGCTATAAATAAGCTATAACACGCAATATCATTTTTCAGTAACATAAAATACCATAATTAATAAACTGTTAGCTGACAGAATAGCCATTTTTTAATCAGGAATCATTCTTTACACTATAGTTTGCATTGGTGTTATCAGTTCCACCTCAATAATCCATCTGACTTCTATATCTCTACATAGTGACCTTGATTTATCATGATAAATAGCAAATTCCTGTTTGTTTTACTATGTAAAAGATAACCAAATATGATTACTGAAAATCGTCTTTTTTCAAAAGATGATGTTAAAAAATTGAATTGTTGTTGTAGGTTTAATGTAACGAAATTCAGCGATTAGTTTTGAGCTATCAAACCAGTTAATACTGATATATGTAACAGATGTAAATGTTGACTTTGATTATCATTGTCATTCTGAATAAAGGTGGAGTTTCCTTCTCTGGTCTTGATGATTTGATTGTGGAGCTTTCATGGTTCTTCCGAACAACACCATTAACACAAAATTCATGTGGAAGTTAGCCATTCAAGTTTTTTTTACATAAATTTAACAACTTGTTCTGTTGACCTTGATCTTTATTATTCATACTTATCACTTAATCAGTTCAATGTAGTGTTTTCACAAACGGAACAAATTTTTTATAGTGGATAACGTTTGGTTTTTCATTTGTTGCTATAAAATTGACTGAAGTGATTTTTCTAGTTTATGTACTATGCCTATTCTAATCAACTTCATTAATCCTGTTGAAATTCCTGAAATGGTTTTTATGTGCGATAGGGTGATAAGGTTGTTTGTCCTTCCATTCGATTTTGATGTTGCTGACGAGTAGGACTGGTATTTTTTGATGAAGCTTTCTGGATAGACGTCCTGTTGGAAGATCGAGGCTGATGGTATAAGCTGTAAGTCATTCATGCTGAAACTCTAATAGTCCACTTCCACATGAAACTTGTGCTGATCATATTGTTCAGAAGAACAATGAAAGGTTCATAATCTAAACCATCCAGCTTAAAGAACAATATTCCTCCAAAATCATCCATCCACCTGAGTTACACATTTCTTCACACCAATTTTGAATTTACCTTTTTTCAATTATAAGGTTATTAGATTCCAAAACTTTTTTTACAAGAAAAATGTTTATTCAAGATATACAGTCAGTGATTAAATGAGCAAAGTTTGATGTCAGAATAGAAAAGTGATGGCTTATGAACCAGGTGAAGATAACAGTAAATTTCCATGAATTGGTGTAACCTGTAAATACTGTGTCTGGAAGGGTCTAGACAGACGAATATGTTCAATAATAAGAAATTGGAAGAGCTGATCGCTATAGTGTAGTAACCTGTTAGGCGTAGCTATTTAAACGTGACTGGCTTCAAATACACCAAACATTTTGTTAGATCAGACAAACTGAGTGTAAGGTAACGTTTTCCTTTGTCATACATCTTATAGTCCCTATGTTATTGTTAACTGTTTATGGACTCTGTTCTCGGTTTTGTTTCACTTATAACCTAGTCACGAGCACATTGTTATTCTTAGCGTTGCTGACTGGTTGGCTTTTTAATGTAAATTATCATACATGTTTTGAATTAAACTGAATCAATAAGAAAGGAGAATAATCTGTCTAATGTGTTCATGTTCAACTGGATAAAGGGCTAAAAGACCTCGCCTCACCGACAAGCCTTAATAATTCCCTGTGATGCATCTTCCGTTGAGTTTTGATCCTAAATATTATTCTGCATATTTTAACACTTGCGTTCATTCCTTTTATTGAGTATTCCATAATAAACAATCCCTATTACGATGATTGAGACTACAGTTATTTCAACCTTTTGTCTCCTCTGTTAATTTTATTTCGTTGTATCGTTTCAATGTTTCAGCTTGTGAGGATGTTCAGTTGTTTTGAACGCTAGGTAAGATTGAACAGATGCCAGAAACTCTCATCAGCCCTATAATAAGAATAGCATTCATTCGTTTTAGATATTTACAAACATTAATTTTTCTTACCTATCAAAAGTCCATGGACCAAAGCGAAGGTAACAGACTTGCTTATCGTATGGAAAATATTTGATCTTCACAGGACATGTGCTTTTATAAATTGCCATTGGATGCCACTCCACTACACCATTGTGATCAACTCTAACAGCACATTCTCGTCGTTCTTCTAAGCGTTCATCAGCGCTGAATTAAAAGAGAAATATGTAGCTTAAAATAATATTTCATTTAACATTAAACATTGAGTTCTATCAGCTTGATAACATGTTTATACACGTTATAAGCAATTAAAACCGTTTCGTATAAATCCATTGGGTTCACCTTATAAATTAAAAGTCCGAATACCTCTTCTTAAATTTTCCCCATAAAAATAACGTAAATGTAGGTCAAACACATAATTTTCCATGAAAAGTTTCACATGATAATTGTATTTTAGATAGGCTCAATCTGATAATCCTGACAGTACTGAGCATTCATGAAGATTTGATAAATGAATCGTCAGCTACTCAAAAATGTGTAAAATACAAGAAGTCAAAGAGACACAATGAAAACACTGGATACAAAACATTGGTAAGTCTTGATTTTGCATTATAGTATAATGGAGATCGTTGTTTTTTACCCATTGAAATCATGAATCAGTCGTTGGTGGACCACCATCAAAAGGAAGACCCAGGACAGAGTAATTTAGAGAATGCTGATCGACGGTCAATGCTCCACTGAGGGTAATCGGCGTAAGTAAGTAATTCACGAGCCCCACAAGCGGACATCGAGGATAAAGTGTCCACATCTACTAGTAAACTGTTTCTTGCCCTCTTCATTCAATAAAGTTGGACCTTCATTATGGCGTGGGTATGAAGAAGTTACCCACCGAAGACAGAGGATGAGTCGCAAATATCGTGGGTGCAAATATTGTCGAGTGCATGCTAAATGATCTAGAAGTCAAGCATTCACGCTTGGAACCGAAGGTCCTGGTTTCAGTTACCGTTTGCACGGTCGTGGATGCTCACTGATGTTGAGTCACATATTAACACAAAATCGCAGTCCATTACTTTTAGGTTTCCAGGGGTGGTCTAACATTGATCGATTCATGATATCGATGTAACTCAACAATCTGTATAAGCGTTTTATGGCAGAAAAGGAACCGGTCGCAACATATCTTTGATTCGAACTAAAAATTCTTTACTATATTAAACGTACAGTACAGAAATAATCACACCCTTTATCACTGTACTGATCGACAAAAACACTAAAACTACCTTCGTAGACTCCAAAATTATCTTCAGTTATTTTGAAACTATTAAATAAATGAGAAAGTTTAAAGGATGACTAACAATATAAATATAACTGGGGTAAATGAGAAATGGAATTTATTCAAGCTCAACTATCTTCTAAACATTGAACAGGAATTTCAAGTAACAATGTGAAATATTTGCTTAGTTTACTTTATTACTACCCACTAGTCCAGTTGATTAATAGGACACTTCAACTGAAAAAAAGTAGACGGCCAAGGTTTCAACGACTTTGCACCACTAACGTAGATATCTTTGATGTCTAGTGCCAGAGTAACCTTTATTCATAGAAAACTCATCATGGAATCATTAGATTACTGATTGCTTTTAATAAGTATAATGATTAGCGTTAAACTTATATGAAATAAAATCGAGTTTTGTCATCAAAGTAAACGGGAAATGTAAGCTCCAACAAAGATTTTCAACCAGTGCACTTATTTTTGTTTGTTGTTTATTAAGATGGCTACTTTTCTTTTAACTATACGCGAGCGCAAGATCTGAACGTTAACAAAGTAAAGTCAAAAAATCAGACAATGAAATATTGGTCTACAATGACTAAATAACATAGTTTGGTATACTGATTATATCAACTATAAGACTGTATCAGAAAAAGGAGTCAAGTTACTAAATATTTCTTTTTCATTCAAATCTCACAATACATCTTCGATGGTGTATTTTATGCAACGTCATTAAATAGTAAAAAGAAAACGTGATTATTTGCTTCCCAGAGAAAGAGTCAAGTTTAATTATTCACTAAACGAAAGAATATGTAAATAATGTCAATTTATTTAGTAGAAATATTGTCTATGGTGAGATATCTACTGGTTTTTTCTGACCATTTCACATCACGATTTTTTCATTAAAATTTGCTTTCAAAACTACATTTATTAATATAGTGTTTCAGTAACATGTGATGACATTTCCAATGAAACGTTTCTTTTCTTAGAAACAAAACTATCATAGATGACCATCTGTGATATGAATATAAGTTGAAAGACTTTTCATAAACATTTCTAAAAAATAGAACTTTATTTTAGTACTGTAAAATACATTTTAATGTCATGTGTTAAATTTTTGAAGCGATCGAGTTAGAAATAAGTTCATTACTTAATAAAAATTTATTTTTATGTGAATTTCATGAAACAATTGATTAAATCTACGACACTGGAGTGCAGTTAGTAATAAATGTCAAATGTATGAACTGTAAATGACATATTAGTACAGTAACTTCAAATGGAAAGTTGGTTTCAAGGCATTGCTTGGTATCGGATGTGGATTCATATCTTAAGTCAAATGACTGAATAACATACCATTCACCATTTTTTAAAAGTAAATTTTATCAGCATTTAATACAGTTTGTGACTATCAAACAAATGGATGTTCAAACCAACTCATCGCTTGGTAATTATCAGTGCAATAATTTTAGAATCACTAGCTCTGATAGAATCCTACCAGTCACTTCTAATATAAGTGATTCACTTCCTGTTGGTGGTTGGTAGAAAGAAGGCCCTGAACTTAGATACCGTTCTGGGTGGAATGCGTTACCAAGGCGTAGCCGAGTTTCTGATGAAGCCGGAGCTTATCGAGTGATTCAAACAGGTTGTTGCAGCCAGAGATATTGTCACTGATTACCATATTATACCACTATCATGTCATATCCATATTCCACGTAAGTCATGTTCAAACGTAAATCGAAATTACGGGGTTGTTGTGAAGTTTGTTAAGGAGTCCCATACCAGGACGAGACGGCCGTACAGTGCTTCCAGGTTTCTAATGGTGGTCTAACATTGATCGATTCGTGGTTTCAAGTAAACCGAAATATAAAAACAGAACACCATTGAGTATATGTAGACGGTAGGATTTACTTCTCGCTAACTTACTTACTTACGCCTGTTACCCCCAATGGAGCATAGGCCGCTCACCAGTTTCCTCCAACCAACTCTGTCCTGGGCTTCCCTCTCCAGTTCTGTCCAATGTTTGTTCATTCCTCTCATATCTTTCTCTATTTCTCGGCGTAATGTGTTCCTTGACCTTCCTCTTTTCCTTTGGTCTTACGGGTTCAATGTGAGGGCTTGTCTCGTGACGCAGTTAGGTGCTTTCCGCAATGTGTGTCCTATCCACTTCCACCGCTTCTTCCTGATTTCCTCCTCCACTGGAATCTGGTTTGTTCTCTCCCACAGTACGTTGTTGCTGATGGTGTCTGACCAACGAATCCGAAGTATTTTGCGTAGACAGCTGTTAATAAATACTTGTATCTTGTGGATGATGGCTTTGGTAGTTCTCCAAGTTTCCGCTCCATACAGTAGAACTGTCCTGACTTTTGTATTGAAAATCTTGATTTTTGTGTTGATTGATATTTGTTTGGAGTTCCAGATATTTTTCAACTGTAGAAATGCAGCCCTTGCTTTGCAGATCCGCGCCCTCACATCTGCATCGGATCCACCTTGATTGTCGATGATGCTGCCCAGATATGTAAAGGTGTCAACGTCCTCCAAAGCATCTACATCAAGAGTGATTTGGTTGGTGTATGTTGCGTCGCATCGGAGAATTTTGCCTTTTACTTTATGTATGCTGAGACCTACTGCTGCAGAGACTGCTGCTACACTGGTCGTCTTCTCTTGCATTTGTTGTTCGTTTGCGATAGAAGATCCAGATCATCTGCGAAGTCCAGATCGTCCAGCTGCGTCCTAACTGTCCAGTTGATACCGTTCTTCCCTCCAGATGTTGACGTTTTCATTATCCAGTCGATGACCAGGAGAAAGAGAAAGGGTGAGAGTAAGCAACCTTGCCTGACACCGGTCTTCACCTCGAATGAGTCTGTTAGCTGCAAAATAGTACACTTTCGCTAAGGCATACATTTAATGAGAGTAAATAAGAAAGGCAGCGTAAGAAATCAATTTCACATAAATATGCTTGAAAATATTCAAGTCTAATGTTTGATTTATATTCTCTAGGTTCCTTCGACTTTCAAAACACTACCTTTGCAAAATAGCAAATTCATTTAAAGAAGTAGCAGTCAAGTAATTATCCAACTAATTATTAGATTAAGTGAGGAACGTACTTACTACAAAATGTGAACGATATCTAATTATCATTAAACTGCTTTATGACTTCGATATAAACAAAAAAGAATGATAAGATTTACATTTAATAAGTGTGTATGCTTATTTATAATCAATTAACCAAATTACTTACAATCAAGGAAGTAATTATTTGGGAATAAAAGCATAATTAGAAATCATATTGATTATTTATTCATTTACAATCACTAGTGTGTCATAAAAAGATAACGAAAATAAAATCTACTCGTATGAAAGAAGACGTGTGAAGGGAGTTAAAGTAATTGTTTGCATTTACTCCTATAAAATCTGTAATCTCAAATGTATTTTAAAACTCATATCATCCACGCAAACAGGTGGGATTGAAATAAAAACAATGTAGTTCCTTGTTCTGAGCGTATATATAGAAATTAATGTGAACTCTTTAATATCCCATAATTAGCAGGGTCGTGTAAAAAATCAATAAACTTGTGGTATGCGACTAACAAAATGCTAATGACAGTAAAATCTAGTTTGTTTGATTAGTGAATGAAAGGTTCACACATAATTTCATAGTTCTCGTTGCATACATTACAGAATCAATACACAACATTCAAAAATGGTAATTACTTCGACTCCGAAATATGGTATTTTAAATGACAACCATAACATCAAATCATAAGCAAGCTTGACATTATTAATAATGTAAATACAAATATACATTTTATGTTAATGTATTGGAAATTGATATAGCTAAACAAAATTGAACAGAATGAAATGAATGAAAAGTCAGATTGTCACATTCTAAAAGAAATTATTTAAAACAAACTATCTAACAGATAATCACGTTGTCATCAGT